CATAGACTCGTAGACTCGTTCATGCATCGTAAACACGCTAGCAGTAAAGACCATAGTAAAAGTAGATGTAGAAGTTGGCAGTGGTGCGAGTTCTGTCCTTTGACGCGCGCATGCTCCGGAATGCTTGGCCACAAGATCCAACTGTTCTTGAACGTGGCCGCCCTCTTTTTGTGCAACACTGTAATATCTAAATCCCCCAGCAGAATTTTGCTTGGCGCTGCATTTTCTGTGGAAAGTTTTAAGATCGTATGTTTCTTGCAGCCTCCTGCTGTATCCTTTTCTAACACTTAACCTCTGCTTACTGGCTAACTATCCTCGCCATTAAAATGAGACTAACTTTTCCCTCTCGTACAACACTTGGCTTTTCAAAGTATGTATGGTTAACACTCCACGTTTTGGTTTGCATTCTTGTTTATATTTTTGTTTGGTTCGCATTGCATATTTTATTTGTAAACACACTGCTACAAGGGCTTCATACAACACTACGACTTTACACGTTTAGTGGAATATGTCAGAAGTTTTAACTCCAGCTACTCGTTTGTTTTCTGCCTTGTTCACTTCCCTGTTGTTTTTGGTAACCGCCCACCTTATAACTCCTCTGGACTGCACACGTTTCTTCCCCTCCTTCCTCTTTAACACCGTACAAATAGCCAATTGAGATCACCGTTGCAGTGTAAATACATAGAGCTGAAAGTTTCCGAAACATACATGCGTAATTGTCTTGTGAATCGACAGAGGGCTGCTTGTTCCTGACAGCTATATATGTTTCCCAGCAACTGATCCACTAACTCATAGATTTCTTTGTACCTAACTTAGTGCTGCGTAGCTTGGTTGCATAACCCGTCAGTCGATTTGGACAGCATCTTTGAATAGGATAAGAGTTTTCCAAAAAACCCTTTTTATTGCATGCAACAAAGTATGGCACTTCATATTTTTATAATGTTAAATTAGTTGATGCTACACCTATATTCCACAATAACGTGTCTTGTAAGATGTCCAGGGGTAACGATAAACAGAAGCCGATGTGTGACTTTTATGCTTGATACAGGCTGTTTTCAAAATAATCAGTGGGACGACTTTTTGATCTCACCGTCAACTCACACTTCATTTTCCAAGTCCCTTTTAGAACAAATGTTTCGCCGTCAGATTTCGCTAGAAGCAACCAAGTGCCATGCTGCCCTGCACTGCAGCAGCGCGGCCAAACCTGACCAAGACCAGTGGACACCCCTCACCCCTCACCCCCCCTGCCCCTCCCCGAGCGAGGAAACGTGTCTTTGGTATCGTTTCAGAATTCTGCGTGATGTTTCTGATTCAAATGTTACGAGTCTCGTCTCCAAGAACCACAAATGTGCTTAGAACAAAATTAATAAGGCGTCTGTTTGAAACCCAACTTCAGAAACACCCTGTTGCAGTGACTGAAAACTATGCCATGGCATAAATCTGGTTTATTCAATTGTTTTGCGATTCTATTACGTATTAAGTCTGGCACGTACTTGCAAATAAGCACGTGTATCTCTGATCAGAGTTGGTTCGAATAATAAGAACATCCAAAATACAGAATCGGTGATGGACGTTATGTCCAGAATACTGTGTAATCAGTTGCTACTATTCATTGATCATCGTGTTGTCGGTTGTCCACAGCTCTTCTTGGAAAGAGAATATCACATCATTCATAAATATGATCCCTTTTTACTGTGTAGTCCTTCAATTTCTATTTACATAATATTCAGATAAAGTTATTGTTTTTTACTTGCATGTGCAGTCCGTAACTTTAAGATGACAAGGCGGGAAAATAAATCTTTACTTTATGAACCATCGCCGTGGATTGCGATAAGCCGTTTTGTAGAACAAGTTTCGTGTGTAACATGAAAAACTATATATATCCCTTTTTTTCACAGATTATATTAATTTTAAATTAATTTATATTAACCGAATTAGTAGCCTTCTGACATCAGAAGATGTAAACAAATGGCAGGCCAATTAGATGCGCTTGGTGAGCTGCTTTCACTAGAAGTACCGATTGTATAAAAATAATTTTAAATGTGACCATTTAGGTTGGATATTCATGAAATTCATCAAAGTACGTCATAGCATGGTGTTACTTTGATGATTTGAGCCTTGTGTTTTTGTTTCGCTAAATTAAACACAAGAAAATATTTTAAATTTTCAGGAACATTTTTATAATTTTATTTAATTACTTTCTATTAGTTAATCGTACTTTCAAAACTTAAGAGAAATTTTCCCTTCCAAAGTCTGTAGCAGTCACTCTAATGTGTTTGTCATCATTATAAGGCCAAAAATTCCCTGTTGCCAACTTGGGGTTGATTGTCTGTTAACTAACCCAGGGGTCGGCAACCTGCAGTCCGCAGACAGCATGTAGCCCTCGCAACCTATTAACTCTGCCCGTCACATGATTTGGGAATTAGCCAATACAAGAAGGGCAACAATTTTTTGCTACTGAGGAACATTGGTAACTATATATATATATATATATTTATATTCATTTGTTTCATTTAATTTATTTTTGTTATTTCTTGCCATTACGCTTATGTTTATATATATATACATATATAAACAAATGAGCATCTTGAAAATTAAATTTATGACGTTAAAACCGCAATAATTACATAAAAGTAAATGTTTCCATTTAAAATTAAACTAAAGCTAGGTTAAGTCACTCGCATTTTCTCATAAGAATGTTTCTTCACAGAAACAAGTTTCATTCCTGTTAGTACCATATTCGGGTCTTACAAATATAATGTCGAAAATGTTGAATATTATAGGACATAAGTGCGAATATGTTAACATTAAATTGTTGTCTGGAACATATTTCTTTTGAGAGAATTGTACTGCGTTGAAATGTATTATGTCGTCTATGTACTTTAATGTTTGTGTAATACAGTATATTCTCATCCTTTATTTTCGAGAATTTTAATATATTTTATATGACCAAACGTAGATGCATTAGTAACAGATGATATGTAATAATTGTTAATATTAATCGATCTTTAGACATTGTAAGGCTCGAAGATGTTCCTAACAGGACCTAAAAATTTTGCCTGAAATAAAAATATTCTTAAAATTAAGTCGTAGGTAACGGAATCTGTCTTTAGTGTAATTTTGGAAACACCAAAACATGATGAATACGAATACGACATTGTTCCGTTGTCGAGACCACATGACATTTAAGAAAACAATATAATATTAAAAACTAAAGTTTTATTAAATTATCAATGAACTGAAATTAAAACCTTATGAGCGCTAATAACGTATTTACAATAACCTCAGTTATATGGAGATATACAGCTATTTATTTTCCGTTTTAAATTGAATATCAGCTGTTCTCTTCATGTTAAGAAAATACAGTTTCTCTTATTGTCCAAGACATCAATTTTTCTCTGTGCCCCTCACTAATCACATGAATAGCCAATCCGGCCCGCGATAATAAAAAGATTGCCGACCTCTGAACTAAGTTATCCATTTATTCTACTCCTCTTCCGGTTTGGCAGTTGATACAACCACAGAAATAGCATCAACTTCTTTTCTCCCCAATACCTTTAGCACGACCCACTGCAAGTTGCCAGGGACGAATTCTATTTAGTTATAAATAGTCGTACAGATTAAGATTTGAGGTTCTCACGGCGGTGAGTACGAAGATGACTCATTTCTTCGTGGTAGCTCCATGTAGTCCGGTATAAGTTTACAAAACGTTTCAAAGGTCCTTCCTGCCTCCATCACCTTTATGTCTGAGGCAAGAAGGACCTCTGAAACGTCGGTAAAATTCTACCAGAAGACACGGCACTACGACCCAGAAGACCGCCATCTTAGTCATATAGTTCTCTCCTTCTATTCGTTCATGATGAGTTTTCGTAAATACCAGGTTTACATTCCTATGCCTGACCTATAACATCCTTAAAATGCCCGAAAGATTTCTCAGAACGGACATTTTTTAAATGTCTAGTTTTTCCCCATTAGTAGTTTGAATCAAATTGTTCGTAAGGAAAGCACGTTCATACAAAACTTCATAAAGTTACTTTATTATAAATAAAATAATTAATCGCTTTAGGCCTCCTTCTCTGTCTCTCGCATAACAAACGTGCCTGTGGACTTGCCTCAATTTCCTGTTGTTTCGACCCGAACTCATTCATTACACCGCAATAAAACACACATCTTCATGGCTTTCTCAGTTATAGAATTAAACCATAACCTGTGTTTAATGCTTGTATGTGCATGGGAGATGATGTTGCAATGTAAATTACAGCCTGGGTTTTATATTGTTGCAATGTTTGTTGTGTTCTTCTCTGTTTTAAATGTGTTTATGTAAGATAAAATAATTTTGTATGAAGACAGATAACTTTTAATTTTCATAAATTCTTCAGCATGCTCTAAGTGCGTGCATTTAACCATGTCTCATGAACAAATGTTATGAATCACAGTGCGCAGGCGCGCATCTCATGGCGATAATTTATTAAATTCTCTCCCTCTGATGTAATTTGCCAAGCGGTAGAATTTCATTAATGTAAATAAGACTATTTTCTAATACTATATAATTATTATTTTCGGGAGTTCAGATCCCATGTAGGAAGTTTCATCTTTATTGTAATGCGAAAGAATATCTTAATAAATTGGTAAAAATCGGCTTCGGGTTAAAATTTAAAAGAAACAATGATTCATAGTGGTTGGATGATTATAATTCTGTTGTTACGAGCTCTTTAAATCCTGTGGCCGAGAAAACAGTTTCGGGGAGCAGAATTCTACATGGAACATTTCGGTTTTACCATTTCGACACTTAAAATGTCTGCAGAGAACTCGGCCGAACCTGGACCCTTGACCAAGGCAGTTCCTTCACGTACATTTGTTCATGAAATGTGGGAAATAAATAAGTGTCTGACAAGTATTTAATTTCTTTCACTGAATTTAAAAGTATCAAAAAATTTAAATTAGATTAACTATTCGCACATCACAATAATTTTCTAATTTCTCTTACATCATTCCAACAGATCTCCGACCTCAACAGTCTGGTGAACAATCTCCCGGGTAAATTGTAAGTATTCCATGACTTAAACTTCAATAATGATAAATTGTGGAAAGAACTACTATGAAATCACACTAATTTTCTTTGAATAGTATTTTCCATAATTTTCTTGTTTCCGCTGTAATAATGTAGTATATTTTGATTCTGCGAATTACAAACAAATTAATTCCCTCAACTTTCTTGAATTAACTGAAAGCACACACAAAGAAGTTGATAGTTGCCAATATAGACTGTTAATTTCTTATTGCCCAGTCCGCAGAATTGTGTATTTATGTTCTGTTACAGGAAAATAATTTCAGTTTCTTCGTTCAGGCATGTTTTTCACTTTTTATTATTTACAATTATATCCGGATTTACCACTCAGAAACGTGAGCCCTGTCGGCCACACTGACCGCGTGGTGTAGGGCCCGCGGTTTGACCTCTCAGTAACTTGGAGCGTAGGATCGCATCCAACTAGAGGCATTTTTCCATGTTGTGCAGTCCTGTGTAGGTAGAGACCTAAGACAGATCAACTCCTTATCCAAGGAGCCCTACCAACTGTAACAAAATGGTTTCGGAACCACAGATAAGGAAGCTGAGGTTCTCCAAGAAATGTAGAGCCAGAGGGGAAACATTAAAACGCGAGCAACACGTTCATTTGTTTTTGTTTCCTACAAAATATTTTCTGATAATGAACGACTTAAGTATTAATTCCTTGCGACGTCTTGTGTCCTACAGCCAAAAGCCCACACTACTTTTATTGCTAATTGTAAACAAAAACTCCTAAATTCCCGACACACGTGTTGTCATTAACGTCAAGACGCGCTTTGTGTCCTACAGCCAAAAGCCCACACTGAAGAAGGTTTCTAAATACGAGAACAAGTTCGCCAAGCTGCAGAAGAAAGCAGCGGAGTTCAACTTCCGCAACCAACTCAAGGTTGTCAAGAAGAAGGAGTTCACCCTCGAGGAGGAGGACAAGGAGGTCAGTACTACAACGTGACGTCATAGTAACAGAGTCAGATTAGTGTCTGATTTTGCCTCTGTGTTTTGGTCGAATTTGCCGTAAGTTAATTTCGAGATGGCACCATTTGTTGAAGTCAATGTCATGAAGAATTCTGTAAGTTTCCGTAAAGTTGCTCAATTCTGAAAGTTTATGACGATGATACGTTGTTGAAGCAAATTGTTTTCTGGACATTATCCATCGCTCAAGACTAAATAAAACCAATAAATACCACGACATTTCGGAGATTGGAGTTTATCTCCGTCTTCAGGTAAAACCTACTCTGTCGGCTCCAATCGTCAGAGCTAATCCCTACCTCCGGGTCCAGATAGACTACTAGGAATTACGAAATCACTGTTTGTGCTAAAATTCAAGAAATTATTCGATATATGTTTTTTAGGTGTATGGAATCTGAAGGCAACAGACATTCACGTATTATAGAAATATTATTAATTGTTTAAATTACGATTGTGTGTTAAAGTAAGATGTTATTTACCGTTACAGAAATATCTTGGTTAATATTCCCTGTCTCAATGCCTTTGTATTTGTCTCGCTTCACAGCCCAAGAAGTTGGAAAAAGCGGATTGGCAGATGAAGAAATAATCATGTAGACACAAATTCACAATCAAAAACACTGCACTGTATCATACATGTGTGTCTGAAGTTACTTAACTCTTACCTTGCAACTTCTTAAATATTTCACATTTCAGTTTTTTGACTCGCAAATCACAGAAGATTTGTTTCTTTCTACCCGCCTCACTGGCAGAACCCACTTCCACGTTTTCATGTATTTTTCTTACATAGTTTATCTTTCATGTTCTGTTGTTGTGCTTACTTTAATTTTGTTGGCTTTTGTCTTATTTTGTGATGTCTCTGTGCTAAAATTTTATACGTCTTTTTCCTCTGTATGACGTAAGCATATCGTGGCTGTATTTTGTCTTTACCACATCGGATTTACGGAGTTTTAGTAACATTTTTATTCGAAGATTTTTTTTAATTGAAAGAATAAATCATGAATTTGTACATAAGTAGTTGAATATTCAGTTATACATACGACTAGTCGCACAATTCCAGCGTCTAAGTAACAACCAACATGGACGACGTCTTCAAGAGGTGAGATATTTAAGCTCAATTGTCCCCACCTCAACCATAGCTATTTCATGTGTTTTTCCCTTTAGAGAAAATTAAGGCACTGAATTCTAAATATTTGATTAGATATGAAGTTATCATAAAAATAGAACTCAATTTTAAACATAAATTTAAATTCATCGTGGAAATATTTATACAATTCGATCACGCCAAATTCGTTGTCTCCTTACCTCAGTGAGAAAATATAGCAATGAATCGATATGTATCGCGCGAGACTGGAGCCTGGTGTGGTTTATTCTGTGACGTACGACTCTTGCATCATGGAAGCCTATAAAAAACATGTTCCTTAAAAAAAATCTCACTAATGTCGTCACACGATGACTATTTTGGAATATAGGCCAAAGTGTCTTGAATCCTAAGTATGTCAAATACATGGCCTCATTTAAAAAGTGGCGAAGAACTTAAAAAGCTTTAGAGTATTCTTAAAAATGAAGCGTCATATTTAAACTGCAACACCGAAAATTATTAATTACTTATACGCAACAGACGATAGATGGGATGATGTCAAAACAAAGAACTTACGTCTAAGAAAGAACACTGGCATTGAGAAACTGTTGTCAAAGAAGCAACGCTCTTTTATTCACGATTAAAAGGGTTTTTGTCATGTGAGCATTTATCTTCGTGTTATTATTACAAAATCGTATTACTGATATCTGAAAATACGAAATAATATGTTCACTTAAATACACGTTTTATTGTCGTATTTCTGTTTAAAGTTGTTGATACAGGAAAGCGTTGCCCGGCGTTGGCCTTGTAAAATGATACCTTGCTCACAGTCACTCAAATATCTCAATTCGTTCTCACAACTAGTTTGGTGACAAATTTTAAATCGGAAATCATTTTGTGACGACTTCTCGATCTGTGTGCATGTATTTCTTATTCTGTCCACAGTTTCTTTTAATGTTGTCTTCCTTCTCTTTGTCTTTGGTGTACCTTTTCCGTGGTCAGTTTAAATCTTTTCCAAATACCACTTAAAGAAGGAAATCTTTTCAATTGTTCCTTGACTATTTCAGTTAAGTTAACTTTACATAAATATGAATCTGAAACTAACGTCATTAGCGTAGTAATTGCTTAATATGTTATTTATTTTGTTTATAGAAAATACGATTTCAGTGCAATTAGTTTTATTGTTGAGTACCTTTATTCACATAATTCTAAAGTTCTTGTATGAAATATCAATCATAAACTCTTTTTATAATTTTGTTATTCTAGCATCACATTGAACAATCCCACGTCTCGAATTTTCAGTTCGTTTCTCACTTAGATTTCTTTCGCAACCCCCATGTTAAAAACATTGGCATATAATAGCATTAGGTACGACAACGCTTTTCCAAGTCCCAAGTCCATTTCTCGAGTCCCTGTGCATCTATTAGTTGTAGTATTTTCACTTACACATCGTTTAATAAACAAACGTTTCGTCTTTTCTTTTGCATTGAATTCACTTTCTTGCTCTGTGATTCATTTTCATTTTACGACTATCGATGCTTAATAACACGCATTTTACTTTATTGCATACTGAAAGTAAGGTTATGTGTGTCCATTTTCCAATATTTGGGTTCGTTTATTTATAGCAGAAAAAGCCGGACTGGACAAAGAAAGGCGAGGAGAAGAAGGAAGGCGAAAAAGAAGTGGAGGCATAAATTTTGATATTTCTGTATGTAAATTACTTTTATAAATTTCAAACCAAAATCACATTTCAATACAGACTATCAACGAACATCCAAGTCGTGAAGTCGACAATGAATGTGATCTTCGTGTTCCTTTTTATTTCAAGTTTGAACTATTTTATGTTGAATACTTTGTAGCAAACTTGTATTTTTCTACCTTCCGTAATGTTTATCCCTTTTAATTATAAATATGTGGGTCTGTCTTGTGGATTTATTTGTACCCCTGCTTGCAAGAGAAATGAATCAGAACGTGCGTAGCAATGTACAGCTACGCAAGTGAAGTGTACAGCCCGTGTGAACCCTGCAGATTATCACACACACGAAATAAAAATAAAAATCTTTCTTTGACCGCAAAGTGCAAATGAATTAGCCTCCATCACCTCTCCTACCCTTAGACATGTGAAGGATTTTATGGGTGAACTATTATTGTCCGCGTCTGTACTCCATTTTGGCTCGACTCGTCACGGATTGCATTACGCAACGACATGGCAAAGCAGGTACTGATCGATCAAATAACATTCTGCGCTGCAGTGTTCGCTCCATTTTTACCAGTGCACATTACTTTGTGCAATAAGGACCTATGACAAGGCCATGGAAGGATAACAAATATAAATATTCTTACTAAGATAAAATAAGGCACTCAGTTACAAAAACAGTTTGACGGGATTTGTAACTCTGTTTGATAGGAGTACAATTCACTCATTGTTTGACTTCGTTTCTTTCCTTATTGTGACCACATCGGACTTTGAATCGATCTTGCCACTTCCTTTTTCAGTTGAGCATATTTAAATAAATTTATCGAAGTTACAGTAAAACTTTCCTTCTGCGGTAAACTAGTTGGTTATTTAGAAAATATCTTCCAGCATTATGGCGATCGCCCTGATGATGGAGGCAGCAAGGACCTCTGAATCGTTGGTAACTTTCTACAATTACGTATACACGGTGTTACAACCCAAAAGACAGCCATCTTCGTACTCTGAGCCGTGAGAATCTCAAATCCTATCTCATTGGTTAATTTCTTGGCCTAGGGAATAGGGGATAAGGAAGGAACTGGAAAATTTGTAATTTTAGCAGATACATCGAATATCACAATCTATAGTAAAAAATTTCTTTTTCATTACAGGCGAATTATGATGTATCCAGGATTGTCTGTCGTGTTGCCTATAATACTTAAACACAGAGAGCGCTGTTTCATTGCTTCCTTGTTATTTTTCAAATTATTTTTCATATTATAGAGAATACACAGTGCACCGATTTATAAATACGAATGGTTTAGGTTCGAAACAGGTTAAAATGCCTTTGAGTTCTCGAGAGATAAAAAATGTTTGCGCATTCCTGTAAGAGCGACGTTAGTATTCAAATTCCGCGCAGTGACTCACAAAATGGAGGACAACTTAGATTTTCAGCTATCAAAGTATCGTAAAAATTTATTTTCTTACGATTTATCTAGTGAAATAATACCGGACAATATAACTCATACTGAGTTCGATAAATGCTGTTTTCTGAATTTGATTCACGTTCAGTATCTTAAAACGAGACCACAATTGCTTTTCATGTTAACGTTTTGCATTGGCTGCAAGATTTCACAGTGTTCTTGACGTTTGTCTGGTTATTGAGTATTTAGATACAAAACCATAACTTTTGTCTTTTTATTATAAGTTGCTGAGAAGACTTGGCTTCAGTAGCTTATTAAGGGGCCGATTGGACGACGTAAGGTGTCCAGGAATTGAAATTAGCCACTTTTGTGAGACCCAACAGAATATATATTTTCACCTGAAGATGACAGCAGATTTAACTCCCGAAAAGTAGTGGGCCCGTTTTAGAATAATGAAAGATGGATCTAGTCTATAAAAGCAGTAATGTGGAATTTCTTTGTAGTTATATTGTCTGCACGTGAAATATTTGCTGGCGTGAAGTTGCGTTATCAATTTATGAGGTGAAAAACAAGAATGATACTGATGTGGTTTTCACTAATGAATTTTCAAAAACACTTCACATTAAGACTAGGACATTTATATATTTTAACAATAAGGTTAAGTCATGTCTTTCAGTTCAATTTTCATCTATTATTGGTTTTCACCAGTGTTTATGCTCTTTTCAGAAATATTTTTTTGTAAAACTGATAGTGCTTATTTGGGATGATACTTCACTGGCACAAATCTTAAATTTCTGCCATATTTTCTATATTAAAACTTCGAGCACTATTATACTGTAGGTTTGATATTTCAACTTTTAAAGCTCAAGATTTTACAGCTGTAACGTCTCTATTTCTGTCTGATTTTACTGCTTACTGGCAATCAGAGCACAGAGGATTAAAGATGCGACGACAATATGGAAGTGAATCCTTTTTAGGTTTGCGACATTATTTCCTTTCACGTATACAGACATATTGCGATTGTAATAACAATCGATGCAGAGTTTCAAATATTCTAAACCGATATATTCTGTATGCTGTCATTTTGAATAAGTGTTGATAAAATTATTAACGCAAAACTAAGTGTTATGAGAATAATGGCAACTGCTTGGATGAATCCCATCACAGAGCGTCTTCTTTTCTCCCAGGCGTCAAAATTGGTTTTGATGGCAGCTGCTCAGTAAGAGTCAATATCATGTTCAACATAATATCGACTGCTGCGGTTAGGTTATAAACATTACAGGTTTTACGTATGTTGTTTGTCTGTCGTCCCTGGATTTTTCTGCCCATTAATTAAATTAATAAAGCAGCTACAGTTTTCGGTTTTCAGGTATATTTCACTGACAATTTAGTAATTTCTTTTGACAATTTTTATTGTATTAATAATACGTAATTATTACTACGAGATATTGTTCAGTATTTTTATTATGTCTTGTGATGTGACTAGGTTATCGGAGAATTTAGGGTTTCATTCTCGCGACTTAATCCGAAAATATAGTTTTCCACATTCGTGTTAATTAGGCTGTTATTATTTTTATTTAGTGTTCTGTCTGACGACAGGTCCATATGAACAGGATCCTTCCATCCTTTTCTCGGACTGGGGCCTGTTCATATACGTTCTTGGCAGATGATCCAGAAGTGGTTTGCCATTGCCTTCTTCTGTGTGTGAATGGAGAAACCGGGGAAGCCCCCGGAGGAAACCTCCGTGTTGCCTAGACCACGGCCTTGCCCAACACAAGTTATAAATTCGGGCACCGCCGGGAATCGAACCCGAGACCCCCCCAGGATTACAAGGCCAGAGTTCTAACCGCTAGACCACCGTGGCGGTGTAATTAGGCTGTTATGGTGATGTATTTTCCGACTTACTTTTCAATCATATGGACAATAAACTCGGTATTGACATCATGGTGTTTCGCCGGCAATTTAGTTTGAACGATTGTTAAGATGGCTGGCGTAAGAACTTTCCGGATGAGACCACCACAAGTGCCATCCAGATCAGAATAGTTCATTGCTGTGTGAATATAAATTAGCTTCTAATTGTTATATTTTCCATGAAACAGAAAATAAAACTATAACAACTTAAAATTTAGAATTTATGGCAATAACTGACTGCTATAAGATAGAAACGTGTAAAAGTTTATGGAGGAGTATATGATCCTTATTATAAGTCTGTGAAAATATTTTGTAAAATATCAATGTGTAGTTAACGCAAAAGTGAGGTAACGTTTCCAAATAAACGCAAACAGACCGCGTCATGCCTCTTCAAATATGGGACTGGGCAGTGAAGGGCTCCAGATACAAACACGAGAAGTTACAATGCCAAAAGTACAACTCTGGGATCTATAGAAATGACGACCACAACACACACGTCAATTCTTGTCGCTGGAATAAGTTTGTTTGTGTCGAAAACAAATGACGTTCTCTGTGCGCCTCGCTCGTGCCAAAGATATTTACAGATCTGGCAGAGCAAGAGGCTAGAAACAAAGTAAAATCTGAATCTGGAGCCAAGTACTTAATGAAGTCTTAGCCTCGCCTTTAGACACAGGTGAGTGCTTATATTCACCTTTACCCCACACAGGAAGTCGTCATTATAAGAGGTGGGGTGCGGAAGCAACTTTACGTCAAAGAACCTAAGAATGAATCAGTCTGTTTGTCTTGGGATAAACTGAGGGCTGCAGCCTTCGAAACTCCCACGCAATTTCAACCATTTCGGGAACGCGGGCTCTATTGAGCACACTGAGTCACTTCCGACATAGCCGTTTGAGGCCACGAGTATATTTGCATCTGGCCTCAGGACTGTTGAAATCATCGATCTTTCACATGAAATAAAGCAGAAAAATTAAAATACTTCGTTTCTCAGTAAAATTAATTCAATTTGATAAATATGAATAATATTAACGCTAATATGAAGTAAACATATACTAAGATGTAATATCTGCCGTGGAGGAGGCTGTCACTTCTCAGCTGCAGATTGGGACTCAAGAAGGCAAACAATCGAAGACCCTTTTTATAACAGAATAAATTCTTTCAGAACCCGGGTAGCTGTTACTGGCTAAGGGGTGGATTACCGAGATCCGACTGGATTTTTATCTTCGTTACCGCCGTGTCCAGGCCGGCTCTGAGGCCCACCGAGTCTCCTAACCGACGGGTACCAGAGGCTGTCATCCGGAGCAAATCGACCGACATGGGACACTTAAATCATGGGATTTCAGTTTCTTACGGATGCGAGTATGAAAAGTTGCTTGCTGTTCCTCAGTCCTTCAGTTTAATATAAACGACGCTTTTGTCTTATGATAATACTCTACCTGTTCTAATCTCTGTTGTGTTACCATCACATTCCTGACGTTCCTCAGGACCTTCAGATAATAGATGACCATATCCTTAATTAGCACTGATCAACAAAATCTTCTCAGGCGATCAGCCGCATCAACTGGTTAAAAGAAGAAATCGACGTTTCAGGGACCTTCTCTGTACCCATCATCAGAGTTCTGATGTCACATTAGAACCCTGGCTGATCGCCTGAGAAGATTTTGTTGAGTTACGTCGCCGTGATACCTTCAATTCATATTACCACTCATCAACTGTCGATCTCAGACGACGATATATTAATTACGTGATTAAAACAATGTCATTAATTAACCTGAGGATCATTCGCTACTCTACCAGATGCCGGCGGACATCATTGACTACAGATGTGCTTGGTATGTTTAATTATTTGACGGTATATAACGCAATTCACAATAATCTTACCTTTTTGTCTTCAGACATCGTTGGACAATGTAAGAATAAAACAAACTCTCTCAGTGCCGAGACTTTTCTTTCGGATTACAATAGAGTAATGTAAACAGTGCGAGACTCTAAATAAAATATTTATTGTTTATTTAACGATGCTTACCGTTTATCACGTTGTGGTCCTTACCACCGACTTAAGCATTGATTAG